GTTTCTGTTTGAGCATATCCCCAAACTGGGAAGTTATCGAAAAATGGGATTCCGATAACCGAGAAACTCTTGCCATCTTCAATATTGAAATTTGTGTCATCCGGCCCTTAACTGAATGTAAAATCTATACCAAACTTGTAGCCCGTCATGATACGGTCGGAACGGGCCCAATTTCGTGCCTATCCGATTTACGAATCTCAAGTTATTGCTTCACTAAGTATGGGATGTCTTCTTTAAAAATTCTGATTTTCATAGTTTCGGGCTCATCTTCTCTCTAGAAAATAGCTCATCTCGGGCCACGCATGACGTGTGCCATATATCAAAATGACCAGATTGTCAAGACCTAGCTTGTGTCCGAATTTGAGGTTGTTCCGATTCCAAACAAGCGAGCTATGAGCACTTGAAAATTATCCCGAAGGGTGAAAACAATTTCCAGAAATGGCAACTGGTTCACTGAGGCCGCATTGCAATAGTGTGAAAGCTACCCAGTTATGATAATTCAGGCTCTGAATGGTCCTAGAAGATTTGATTGAGCCCAAATTTGATCCCTGGGGGTTTTTTCGATGTTCCTGATCTAATGGCTGTGCTCTGGTACTGTTTTGAAACACTGAAAATGGGGCTGTAGTTTTAAAGTCCCTTTTCAGCATGATACGAGCTGGATTTGAGAACCGAGTTCCGTCCTGATCATATCAAAACTTGTCGGAATGTGACGAAACTTTGTGAGCGTCCTTCAGGCATCCCAAACTACCCTTCTCATACATTTTGAAGCCGTTCCAGTAGTTTTTTCAGAGGTTGCTTAGTTTTAAGCTTATTTGCAGTGTTCCATTGGTCTACCGATGTTTTGCGTACCGGCAGGACCAGGTTGTGACTGGCTCTCTCCTTATTTGCACTAGGAATGTAAGTACATCAAAAATGACGTATAACAAGTACCCAAAACTTTTTTAACATTCCAGCAGGTTATCAAACACAATACCCAAAACTTATTTAAACCTTCCAGAACAAAACATTCAACTTTCCAAAAGATTTAAACATTCAACTTTCCAAAAGATATCTTTCAAAAAAACAAACGCACCCTTAGAGAGCTTCCAAAGATAGTTGAAAAAAAGAGAGAGAGGAGAGAGAGACATTAGCCATCTTTGGGCTTCTTCCTTCTTGCCATGGTGCATACACAAGGAAGTGTTCTAAGGTTATAAGGAGGTGATCTTCTCCACATCAAAGCCATCTTATCCTTGCTGTAAATCCATCATAACAGCAAGGTAATACCCTCTTCTTAGTGACATTTTCTTAGTATTTTGGTTCCCTTACATTGCTGGATCATATCCCTCCATGGATGCTTTATTCTAACACACATTGGCATGGTGTTGTGATAGTTCCTCAGGAGAATATCTAGCTGATTTTTCTCCACTTTTATTTAAAAAATCAGCAAGTATTTGACCTCCTTTTGAGATCCAAAAGTACCTCGCCGAACTACTCTCTCTCTCTCTCTCTCTCTCTCTCGTGTGATTTCCATTCAAGCTCCTACTTGTTTCTTGAGCATTTTGAGCATGTCTTTCTGTAGTTAGCGTATATCCTATTGCTTCCCAAAACCTAGATTGGATTGGCCCTTTATCCTGGGCTATTGGATTCTGGGCATACTCATAAGTTGTATTTAAGTCCTTGGAGGTAATCTGGGCAAATTTGATACATATATTGGCTTCCCGTGACTTCAGTCTTTGTGCACAACTTTAGTTTTGTTTAAGTTGTTGGAGACTGACTTGTTATTATGTGTTGGTAATTTAATTATTTTGAGAGCCTATTGTTTATGGGCTGAAATGGCATGGAACTAAAATCTTGGACTAATTTGGGGTCTTGTATATGTTATCTGGAGCACTCTGCACATATTTTATCAGCAGATTCCAGGAGAAGCCAATGCAAATGGCAACCTTTTTGGCCCAAACAAGGGCCTCAAGACAATTTTATAGTACAACCATTGTAATCTATACTGCCTTCTGAATATCTTGTGTGGATCACCCAAAGGCAATCCCATCCCTTCGTCTGCCTCCCACAAAGTAGAAACCTCTAAATTCCATACATGAAAGCCCACTCCAACTCCAACAATAACTCCAAACACCTGTTTCCTCCTTGGATCCTAACAAATCTCTCTCTCTCTC